TGGAGGTCCCTATCTGTACTGACTTGAACTCACGTGGCTGTGACCCCAGTATAACCTCTATGGGTTATCTCTGCATTAGATCCCTCTGATGGGGTATCAGTAATCTGCACTCACCTCTCGCTATGGCTCCGGTACTCTCTGACCCGTGGCTCCTCATTGCCACCTTGGCGTGGTCATCTTCAGGTTTCGCGGTGTGTGACGTCATCATCTGTCCTGCAAATACCAACATACAACATGATTATCTCCAGTTACTGACTCTCCTCCAGCCGAGAAAAGTTTATACAGAAAGCCGTAATGTCCAAGTGTAAAACAAAAATTTTAAAAAGCCGACAAGCTGCCTAAAAATATCAATGGCCAATGGTCCAAAGCTCCTCTGTACAGAGACTGATGTGACTGTGGGGGAGGGGGCATTAGAGTGTAAGCTCCTCTGTACAGAGACTGATGTGACTGTGGGGGGGAGGGGACATTAGAGTGTAAGCTCCTCTGTACAGAGACTGATGTGACTGTGGGGGAGGGGACATTAGAGTGTAAGCTCCTCTGTACAGAGACTGATGTGACTGAGGGCGGACATTAGAGTGTAAGCTCCTCTGTACAGAGACCGATGTGACTGGCTCAGTGTTCCCTGTACAGCACTGCGGTATATGTCAGAGCTATTTAATATTGATATATAAGCATAATAGTGTGTGACTGTGGTGAGCACATGGGGTGAAGGCGATGACATTGGTACAATGCTCTATTATTAGAATTCCCGCCGCCATCATTATGACTTGGCAATGTACAGATGTATTGGTCTATACAGAGGAAGCTCCTGGACAGAACTGCAGATGAAAGGAGATCAAAAGATGAAGTAAAAGCAGCAAAAATAACAATACAAAATACAGCTGAAAAACAGCATAGCGGGGAGACGGGAGCCAGCAGCAGAACATATGAAGGCCACAACCGGGAGCGAGTTATCACCTGGAGGAGGCCAAATGTCTTAGCATTGGTAAGTTTGAGAATAAGGAGGACAGGAAGATGAGTCACCAGCTCAGAACTTGTATTAAACTGTGAGAGGCGACATCAAATCTGTATGTGGTGGGTATGTTACCCTGCGCTACACCCATTCCATTACCATACCCAACCAAGGCCCTCATCTATTCCTCACAGCCAACTGAGACCATTATTTCATCATCTTTCCAAACCAAGACTCCTATTTCATCATCCAATACCACGGAGACTCCAATTTCATCATCCAATACCACGGAGACTCCAATTTCATCATCCAATACCACGGAGACTCCTATTTCATCATCCAATACCACAGAGACTCCAATTTCATCATCCAATACCACGGAGACTCCAATTTCATCATCCAATACCACGGAGACTCCAATTTCATCATCCAATACCACGGAGACTCCTATTTCATCATCCAATACCACGGAGACTCCTATTTCATCATCAAACCCAATAGGGACTCCTGTGTCATTATCACAGCCAACCAAGATCCCTATTTTATTACAAACCCAAACAAGACAGCTATTTAGTTATCACGAGCATGAGACCTCTATTTCATCATCACTCCCAAGTGAGACCTCTATTTCATCATCACACCTAAACGAGACCTCCATTTCATCATCACACCCAAGTGAGACCTCCATTACCTCATCACACCCAAGTGAGACCTCCATTTCATCACATCTAAACGAGACCTCTATTTCATCATCACACTCACATGAGACCTCCATTTCATCATCACAGCAAAGTGAGACCCCAATTTCATCATCGCTCCTAAATGAGACATATGTTTTATCATCTCACCCAAAGGAGACCTCCCTCCATTTCATCATCACACCCACGTGAGACCTCCATTTCATCATCACACCCACGTGAGACCTCCATTTCATCATCACACCCACATGAGACCTCCATTTCATCATCACACCCAAGTGAGACCTCCATTTAATCATCACACCCGAGCAAGACCACTATTTCAACATTATACCAAACCTAGACCCCTGTGTAATCATCAATACCCAATGAAGATTCCATCATGACACCCAACGCAGAGCACAACTTTATCACGCACCCAAACCTATAGCCACACTTCACCAAGAATCTCATTTTGTCAAGATGTGCAGAGATGTGGATTTCATCAACACGTCCCAACCCCAGAGATTTCCCATAAACTGAAGAGCCGCATTTTACTTACAAATCCAACCTGAGACCCAAATATCACCAACACACCTAGACCAGATCTCAGTCAATTACCCAAACCCATCAATCTGAACTGGGCTTCACCCACACACCATTCAGAGACCTTAGCAGTAGAATTCATTCAATATTTGTATTTCATTTACATTCCATTAAAGGGCATCAGTGGTCAAAAACTATAGTCACCGGGACCCTGTTCAGCTGTGTAAAGTCGACAGTCGGCTTTACACTGGAAGCCATTCTGGTGGTTAAGCTGCCGCCAGATCGCTTACAGGGACCGGTGAAGTGTGCCCCCCCTCCCCTTCTGCCCGACACCCCACCTTGCTTTCCAGGCTCCGCTGCCCCTCCTGAAGGCCTGAGACCGGCATCACGAGTGTTGGAAGGTAGAGAGGCCGGTGAACATCTGTTTGCCGATTTCTTTCCCGCTGAATGGAGCTGGAAGCGACGCTGATTACATCACTTCCGGTCTCTGAGCTGTCATTCCCCGGCTAGAGAAGCCATGGAAGAAGTTATTCAAGCGCAAAGTGTGCTTGAATAGCTTCTTTGCCGCGAAAAGATGACACTAGGGGTCTAATACACTCCTAATATCACCTTACCTGCTTCCTGTGCAGCGGCCGTTCATAAATGGCTGGAGTTGCAACACAAGGCCACCAGGAGGTGCGTTGGGGTGCCATTCAAATGAATGGTACCCCATGATAGGAAGGTTGGTGTGCTGGATTTCCACTGGTGTGAATGGGCCCTAAAGCTCATTCTTTGTCATGCTCTGTCTGGTGTCTATGGCTGACCTCCTCCGGGAGGAGATTGGATCTGTTCGCGGCCAAAAATTATAAATCAAGATATAGAGTAAGAAACTTCTCATTTCCCATCATGTACCTTACCTCTAGCAGTAACCGTGCTACTGTTACAGTTGGGCTCTCCCACTGACACCTTGACATAGTCCAACTTCTCCTGTTTGATTGGTTGGGAGGCGATCTGTCCTACAAGCAGAACCAAGCAAGAAGATTATGAGGAGAGAACGATGGATCCAACCCAAAACCCCAAAATATGTTCTAGATCAGGAGATAGGCAACCTTGGACCTCCCGTAGTGCTACAACTATTAGTCCTATCATGCCTCTGGGAGTCATGCCTCAGAGTCTAGCAACGCCTCATGGGACCTGTAGCTACACAACAGCTGGGGGGCCGAAGTTGCCTACCCCTAGAATATTCTAGAATATTAGATGATGCTGCAATTAAGATTGTGCTCTGTAAGATTAGATCTCATTGCCTGGCATGATGGAAGGTAGGGGTGGGCAACCTCGACACACCCCTCTGCTGGTCTGACATGAGGGAAGGTAGGGGTGGGCAACCTCGGCACACCACTCTGCTGGTCTGACATGAGGGAAAGTAGGGGTGGGCAACCTCGACACACCCCTCTGCTGGTCTGACCTGAGGGAAGGTAGGGGTGGGCAACCTTGACACACCCCGCTGCTGGTCTGACATGAGGGAAGGTAGGGGTGGGCAACCTCGAGACACCCCTCTGCTGGTCTGACATGAGGGAAGGTAGGGGTGGGCAACCTCGACACACCCCTCTGCTGGTCCGGTATGATAGAAGGTAGGGGTGGGCAACCTTTGCATCCCAGCTGTGTTGAAACTACAAATGCCCCCATGCCTCTGGATGTCATGCCTGTGCCATAGCTGGAGTGCCAAGCCTGCCCACCCCTGATAGAAGGGCTTAGCATGGAGCACCTCCTATGGACACTACAGTCCCCCACCCAGAACTGAGCCTCACGTCACATTCAACATGTTCACCATAGGGAAATGGAGACTACAATTCCCATGATTCAATGTGAGTGCTCCGACAGGGTGGGAGTGTATGTGGGCGGAGTGACATGCATAGCTGCCAATCATGTGCTGCGTGTCGGTCGTGACCGGGTGCTGTGCTGCCCACAGAAGGAAGATGTAAACACAGAGGAACCATTCCCCATAGGGACCCCTCCTTCCCCATACAAAGAAAATAGTGGCGCCTGGTGGCACACAATGGAAGCTGCCCCAATAAGGAGGATAAGGGACGTGTTTTTGGGGGGAGAAGTATTAGAAAAATGGAGATCGTTTCAACAGCAGGAGAGCAAATACGTCACCTATCCCAGGATAGACCCGGGAGGGATCTTGATGATTGACATCTCTAGACACTCCCAACATATGGGATTGCTGTCAATCACCAGCCCAGGGTGGGCCGGGAGGCGTGGCTGCCATCACAGGCTGCCTGCTACAGTATACAGGAACAGGACGCCATACTGATGTACACTGACACAGGCGAGGAGCTGGATGGCATATCAACAAAGCAGAAGGTACCCTGATGATTTTTTGTTGTTGTAATGATGAAGGAAATGAAGGCTGACCACACACTATGGGGGTGACTTATAAACCATTTACACAGCAAACAGCTCTGCAAATGAGATTCACAGGTCATCATGGCCACTAGATGGAGCTGAGGAGCACAGCAAATTCCTATCTCTATGGCTCCATCTAGTGGCCATAATATAATGCGCTATTAATGTCCTCCAGCGCTGACTGGCGGAATGGACGGGGGAGGGGGCGGGTACAGCTGGCTCTGCCTCTAGATAGGCAGAGCCAGCTGTCAGTCACGCAGCTGGGCGGATCTCAACATCGATGTCGGGATCCGCTCTGGCTGCGGCGTCTCAGTATATAGTGAGCTGTATACTGAGCTTAGGGTGACAGGAGGACGCTAGTTTGTGTCCTCCCATTACCCTAAGGAGAACTATGGGGAAAAGCACTGACCCCATAGTTCTCCTTTAACATGAGCGGAAAAAAAAAAGTATCTGCAAAGGACTGAAAATGAATTTTGAAATGACACGGACGTTTTAAATGTAATCAGATATTTTATCGGCCGGGTTTACTTACGCTGTAATCACTCCCTTCCTATTATAGAGTTATATACATTTATTTTTCATGAACCTAAACACAGTTTATTTGACTTTTCTACATAAAAATAGAGAATTTACATTTTTGGAAGCTCTGCGGGGGAGGTTTCCATTCCTTGCAGACATGAACAGGTTACAGAGTGAGGAGAATTAACTTTGATTGTGTCGGAGGAGAGACATCGAGTTCTCTCGGGAACATCTTCTGTGTCTGGGATGACGATGGTGAAGATAGACACATATGGAGGACACCAGCGGGAGGCGGCCGGTCCCGGAGGGAGGCTGACAGGAGGCTGAATGCTTTCCATAAGTGAAGACATCTCCGCCTCTCCCGCGGGTCCGGGACACCTGCCGCCGGCCCCCTTGGTGCCGCTTTATACGACGGCGGTCATCGGGGACACGCCGCCAACACTAAGAGCCACAAACACATAATAACAGCCCTGAGCTTCCCTCGGTGTGACATCCAGACATTGGGAGTTCTCACTCCGAGGGACGCAAATAATTCTGGAAGGACTTGTAAAAAAATTACCAAAAACACGGCCAGAGCTGCGTCACCGAAAGGGCCCAGGGTGGCATTGTGACGTCATTAGGTCACCTGTGCCGGGAAATCAGTTATGTGACAACAGAGATACACCGAGAACATTTCCTTACCCATTTCCCAGACAATTTTCTTGTTACTTTTGTCCTAGGACAGGGGTAGGCAACCTTGGCTCTCCAGCTGTGCTGAAACTACAAATCCCATCATGCTTCTGCCTCTGGGAGTCATGCCTGTGGCTTGCAATGCCTTATGGGATTTGTAGTTTCAGCACAGCTGGAGAGCCAAGGTTGCCTACTCCTGTCCTAGGAGAAGGTTTTTATTGGTGGTCTAGATTGGGACCCCAATGAGGTCAGAGATGGCAAGTAAAAGAAAAAAAAAATGTGGTTGGAATTGGGAGTTAAAGCTGAAGTGTGGGAGGAGTTATGCAAATATCAAAATGTCTTGATGGGTGGAAGTCAGCCTGGAGGAGTGGGCGTTCCTTGGTGGGCCGTATTTGGATGCAGACCTCCCTAGGACACACCCACATTTGACGCTGATCCTCCATGATTGACAGAACTGAAATCCAATGAATGAAAGGGGCGGGGCCAGTCAGGCTGGGGATGAAAGAGCTAGCTGATGATGGGCAGCCAGGAAATGAGGCGGGCTCTATCTAACTTGCCGCAGCTTCTAGTGAACCTTGTGAGAAGCCAATAAAACCCCAACAAGGGTCCTCACCCTATATCGTGGTTGGCTTCTAGCAGGCCCCATGTCTTCTCCTTTATATGGTGCCGTTCCTGCCTCTGGCTGGGAGAGGATGAAATACAGGGCAGCCGAAATCCAACCAGAAATCCGGGGTAGGGGTGGAAACGAAGCGCTAATCACAAACACTACATTTCCAGCTGAGACGTCTGTATTCAGGCCCAAGTGGCCTAAGTTCGCTAGCTCTCCACAAAGCTAGGGTCCTCCTGGAGATAGGGGGTCACCTGGCTTGAGAAGTTTTTGTGTACTCTGACCAAAAGGAGCAACAAACCCACGTATTAGGAGTCCAGAAATGTATTTGATGTATTCCAGAAATGGCAAACCGATAGGAAGCCAACGTGTTTTGAGGGCCAAACATTCCCCCTTCATCGGGGCTTCAACAAATGTCACAGAATCCATCAGACTCAAAAATCGAGAGTCTGGAGATATCAGTCAGAACCAGGAAGTTCTATAGTGAGTGGGTGCCTGTGTTATGCAGCCAGGGCGGAGCTCTGAAAGGGGATTGTTTGGCTTCCGAAATGCGTCGGCTTCCATTTGTTATCTGTTGTGGAATAAATAAAATGCATTTCTGGAATATGAGTGTTTGGTGCTCCTTCTGGTTCAACCACACAAGGAAATTGAACAAGAAGATGCTCTTGGAATGGACTGGAGTGTCTTCTACAGACATGTGACCTGCTCTGCTCTTCCCGGAAGGACTGTGAAGTCACGTCTAGTGATTTGGAAGGTGGGGGTGGTGCAAATATAAATCTAACAGGTACACTTTATACCTAATATCATTAGGTGATCTGTAAAGGGGGAGGGGGCCTGGACAATCTGATATGACCTTCTTCACCTTTAAAATGTTGGCCAAAAGCATGTGGTCACCTGACCATCACACCTATAGGTGCTTGTAGGTGCATCCCATTCCAAATGCATGGAAACTCATGGACACCTGACCATCACACCTAGAAGAGCTTGTTGGACAACCCCATCCAAGCCCATAGAAACTCATGGACACCTGACCATCCCACCTATAAGAGCTTGTTGGACAACCCCATCCAAGCCCATAGAAACTCATGGACACCTGACCATCATACCTATATGAGTTTGTTGGACAACCCCTTCCAAACTCAAAGGCATATATAAAAATGCTTCCCTTCCCCTTAACTATTTGAGAATATAACAGCCTCCACTCTTCTGGGACGGCTTTCCACAAGATTTTGGAGGCTGTCCATTGGTATTTGTTCCCATCTTTGAGGTGAGGTACTGTTAATGGATGAGAAGACTTGGCTCACAATGGGCATTTCAATTCATCCTAAAGGTGCTCAGTAGGGTTGAGGTCAGGGTTCTGTGCAGGACACTCAGGTTCCTCCACACCAAACTGGTCACACCATGTCTTTATGGAGCTGGTGTTGTACAAAGAGAAGAGTTATGGTGAAACAGAAAAGGGTCTTCACCAAACTGTCACCACAAGGTTGGTAGAGGACAATTGTCTACAATGTTTTTGTGTATTGTAGTATTAAAAGAACCTTCACCAGGACCACGAGTGATGTCCATACGTTGGTGTGATGTTTAGGTGTCCACAAGTTTTGGGCCTATAGTGCATCTCCTACAAAATTCTGAATATATTAATAGGGGGCTGTCTTTTGGTTTTTGTGGGGTTGTTGGGGTGGGGGTTACTAAAATTAAACTCTGATCAAAGTGTCTTTTAAGCACTTTTTGGTGATGGAAGATGACAACAGGTAAAGGATTGGGTGGAAACCATTAAGTATCTTGCTTTTCAAAACCATAAGCATATGCAATACCCCACAGTGTTATGACAGGCTCTACTAGGAATCCTCTATTTATACAAGTCACTAGTCCCCGCCCCTGAGGATGCCAGACTCACGGTGTGACTGGTTGACCCTGACCTCCGACCTCTCCACAGGATGGATCTCCTTCTCCTCTGTGTCTTTTTGTTTTGAGAAGGCAGAGGTGATGGTGGTGTCAGCTGCACACAAAGAGAAGAGGACACAGGGTTGTTGGGTATTGTGTAACACACAGCATGAAACACAATGGCGACAATTGGAAGTTGAATAACAAGACTGACTGACTACTCCATATAGATATCTATACTTATCAGACAGGTCCTCTTACATCCTATACATATCAGACAGGTCCTCTTACACCCTGTACATATCAGACAGGACCTCTTACACTCCGTACATATCAGACAGGTCCTCTTACACTCTGTACATATCAGACAGGTCCTCTTACACCCTGTACATATCAGACAGGTCCTCTTACACCCTGTACATATCAGACAGGTCCTCTTACACTCTGTACATATCAGACAGGTCCTCTTACACTCTGTACATATCAGACAGGACCTCTTACACTCTACAGATATCAGACAGGTCCTCTTACACTCTGTACATATCAGACAGGTCCTCTTACACTCTACAGCTATCAGACAGGTCCTCTTACACCCTGTACATATCAGACAGGTCCTCTTACACTCTGTACATATCAGACAGGTCCTCTTACACCCTGTACATATCAGACCGGTCCTCTTACACTCTGTACATATCAGACAGGTCCTCTTACACTCTACAGATATCAGACAGGTCCTCTTACACTCCGTACATATCAGACAGGTCCTCTTACACTCTGTACATATCAGACAGGTCCTCTTACACTCTGTACATATCAGACAGGTCCTCTTACACTCTTTAGATATCAGACAGGTTCTCTTTAACTCCCTTTGAAGAACTTGGACAGCCATCATGGACTGGCACTGTGCACAGGTGTGCTGCTGCCATCTAGTGGTCAATCATCGTGACAGCAGGTCACTATAATTCATGTATCACTCACAGGTAGACTTCACTTGTTTTATACAACACCAACAAAAGCTGCCTGGAATAGTATTATATAGGAATGGAGGTGACCACTGTCTCCGGTTTTCTGAGTTGTCACAGGAACAGGAAGTGAGGGGGAATTTCCCAATGGGACACCAGTTTGTGTGACTACAGTAAAATAGGGGATTGCCTCTCACTTTTGAGAGATCTCCTCTTATGTCCTGTTCTATCTTTGGACAAAGAGGTGAAAGGAAATCTCCCCCAAGGGGTCAGAGGTCTTCACAATTTCTTTCTTTATCCAAAACTTAAATAAAAATAAAACAAATGGCTTCACATACACTGTGGAGGGATTAAAGCAGAATTCCGGCACATATTACAATGCATAAAAAAATAGAATACATATTAAATGCAATTTGTGTAAACACCTGAAAGTTACTAAAGTTCAGACTCTGTATAGGAGCCCTGTGGGAGAGGGAGGGGCAGTGCTTTGGGCCAACCAGGTGTCCTGCATGCACATGTGCTGACAATGAACATGCTGAGAGGTGAGATCAGAGAGATGACCTCATCAGTCTGCTCCTTCACCGTCCAGCTACAGGCCAGGGGCGGGGAGGTGACCAGGCTGAATTGCTGAACTACAGTAGAGGAAGGTCAGGTCACCAGGCTGGCTGTGCTATTTTCCAGAGCTGTGTAAATCTCAGGACTGGGTGTACAGGAATACAAATCCTTTGGCAGGTAAGAGAAGCTCCCATGTCTGTATTTCATCTCTGTATTCTGCAGTGTGCTCGGAGTTCTGCTTTAACAGAAACCAGAGTGAAGTGTTGGCATGCAAAGCCTCTCTGGGCCTTTCCAGTTTGGATGGTGGGCCTCATAGGGTGTGCAGCGTCACAATACAGGAAATGCTGATCTGCAACGATCTGCTACAAGCCAATTGGTGATCTACAAGCCAAGCACTCACCTGCGCTATGGGCGGGGCTCCGTGGCGAAATATCTCGGTAACAGGAGGAATCATCTTGCTGTATCCTCAGTAGTAGATCTGGCGTGCAGGCTGTGGAGGAAGTGGAAAGTTATAAGGACAATGTACCAAAATACAGCGCTCAAGGGAAACAGGAAGATCGACCGCCGAACATATCACTCGGCTACAGAAACTAAGACTGCTCCTCCCAACCTTTTCCCATTCCCTCCTCCCTGGCTCCGTAACACGCCCTCTCACTTAGTTTGTAGCGCTTCCCTCCTTGTTTTCTCTTTAGGCTGTGGAGGAAGACATGGGACAACTCAGAGAGGACAAAGTATGAATGGACCAAACCAATCAGGAACTCCTTTCTCCTCCCGGAGATCTCTACAGTGATAAAGATCTATATAGAGGAATCAGGACCTCCTTCCTCCTGCTGGGGACCCCTCTAGTGATAATAAAGATCTATATAGAGGGATCAGGACCTCCTTCCTCCTGCTGGGGATCCCTCTAGTGATAATAAAGATCTATATAGAGGGATCAGGACCTCCTTCCACCTGCTGGAGATCCCTCTAGTGATAATAAAGATCTATATAGAGGGATCAGGACCTCCTTCGTCATTAGTCCATCAGTCAGGGAAGTAGCACGTTATAAAAGGTCAGAAATGGCAGCTTCCATCTGTCTGTTGTCATAGTTTTATGTTGAACCCTTCCCACACGTACAATGGAAACCCAACAGGAACCTCTGTTGTAGAAAGTCTCACCCGGGTGTCTGTTCGCCTTTCCTCCTCTCCTCCGGCATGAATCCAGGTTGGGTCTCGGTTCTTGCTTCACTACTGTGATAGACTCTCTCGGAGAAGATGCTGTGGAAGGACAATAGAGAACACCGTGACCTCCATTCTGACAGCAGCCCATGACACATCCCAGCAACTCTAACTTGCCATGGCTCAGTAAACTTTATTCTGCTCATATTTTGCCTTCCCTGCCCCCCCTCCCCCCCTTATTAAAATGATAAGGACATTATGAAACAAAACCTTTCCTTTTTCATCAAATAGCTTATTGTAGACCCAGAGATGTCATCACCGGGTCTCCGTGCTTCTTTGTGTAATGCAGGCAGATCAGGGCTGGTGGGAGGAGCCGGCAGGGTGCTGTACGTAGCTTCCTGAAAACATTACAGCGCCCTGCCTCCTCACTCCTTTCAAGAGCCCTCAGTCCTGATACATGAAGTGGGTGGGCTTTTGGGAGGAGTTATGCAAATATAAAATGCCTTGATGGATGGATGTCAGTCTGGAGCAGTGGGCATTCCTAGATAGACTGAGTGTGCATGGATGTTCCCAGGCAGACTGTATTTGCATGCTGATTGCCCCAGGTAACGCCCACATCTGATGCTGAGTTTCCATGACTGAAAGAACTGAGATCAAATAAATGAAAGGGGCGGGGCAAGGGACAGCCAGGCTGGGAAGTAAAGAGCTACATGCTGCTTGACGTCCTCCAGCCAGGAAATGAGGCGGGCTCTATCTGACTTGCTGCAGCTTCTAATGCACATTGTGAGAAGCTCCCAGCATGCAGTGAAATCAGAGGAAGTCATTTCAGCCCAGGAGAGAAGCCGGTACAACTGTGCAAGACTGAAGGGGAGGCCAGAGGTCAGATACAAAACTGAAGGGGAGGCCAGAGGTCAGATACAAGACTGAAGGGGAGGCCAAAGTCAGATACAAGACTGAAGGGGAGGCCAGAGGTCAGATACAAGACTGGAGGGGAGGCCGGGGTTTGGTTTTAAATATTATACATAAATATTTAGTATTTTCACATCCACTCGGCTGCTTAATTTTTCAGGCTCTCCAAAGCTCCTTAACACAAATAACCCCTCTTGTTTATAAAGCTCAATAACTCAAGCTGAAATGTACAAAGCTTAGGTCAGAGCAGAGGCTTCCCCCTTCCTTCCTTTGTAGACATTTCTATATGACGAGAGTCATTCTAAAAGTGGAACAACTACTGCTATGCTCTGCGTCACCCATAATGCTCTGGGAATCCTTTGTCAGGGACGCACAGAGTACTGAAAGCTTATCGGTGAGTTTTAAAAATAACTATTGATACGGCACGAGCTGCTTTCTCCTCTCACCTGAATTGGTGACCGCCCTGTCCGCATCAGAGAGGTCGACGTACAGGTCTTTCACCTTCTTAATCCGGAACAAGACGTCAGGGTTGAGGATCTCGAAGCCTAAGAGATGGGGAGAGAGAAGGAGAGAGGAAAGTGAGATGGAGGGAGAGAGAGAGAGAGAGAGAGAGAGAGAGAGAGATTGCCCCAGGTAACGCCCACATCTGATGCTGAGTCTCCATGACTGGAAGAACTGAAATCCAATGAATGAAAAGGGCGGGGCCAGGGACAGCCAGGCTGGGAAGAAAAGAGCTACATGCTGCTTTATGTCCTCCAGCCAGAAAATGAGGCAGTCACATTCACGTGGACTTGTTCTGTAATGTTGAAGACCTTCCATAGCTTCTCCAAATCTATGGAGTGTCAGGAATCCAATAATGTAATACAACTCTGGCAACTCGGAGGACCTTCAAGAATGCCAAAATGTAGCCCATTCACCCACAGATCTTTGCCCCTACTAAAAGCTCTTTCACTTTATTGCATACGATTGGCAGTACAACACAATCAAGCTCCCATTTCACATTCTACCGGTGGAGTTTTGCTCCTACCTTCACCAAGGGCTAGGCATGGACCGAAACATGTCAAATAGAAGCTTAACTGTATGTACAATGTACTGCCATGCTTATGCAATAAAGTCAAAGGCCTGTGTGAGGATGTACTACATGTTGGCATGCTTGAAGTTCCTTTGAGTTGCCCAAGGAGGTTTCAGCCTAGCACCAGGCAGTGGAGAGGGTGCGTGCTTCTGAAGTCCTAAGTGTGAGGAAGATACCTAAGCCTTTATATCAACAAGTAGCCCAGACATCTTCATCCAATCACCATGGAATGTGTAGATGTTGATTGTCCAAGAACAGGATGGGAGGTTTGAAAGTTGTAGAACCTTTCCGTTCTAGTTCCATAATCCCATCCTTGGTGTCAGGAGGTCTTTGTACGGGTTAGTCATTTGATTCACATGAATTCTCAAATCGCGAAGCTACAGATCTAAAAACGGCATCATATGTGGAAGACAGTTGGTGTCAAAGGTCCCAACACTTGTTCAAGGATGGCTGTTTCAGTTTGACATTGATGGCCTCTTTCATGCCTCTTGTGAACCAATTGTCCTCTCTGTCCAAAATGCACACCTTACTGTCCTCGAAAGAATTCCATTTTCCTTCAGCTGTAGGAAGTCTGCACTTGTGTTAACGCAAGGGTGGATAAAGTATTATGGAATTCAGGAGCCAGTCTGAACAATCCAGTAGCCAACATGATACTTCTTTTTGTTGTTGTTGAAGCATTGGTTACCTAGGACTAGGGATCCTGGGATTAGCCCAGCTCCATGGTAATTCTTCGATTCACATGGCTGAAGGTCAGACTTGTTGTCAGATCCTCGGGGTAGAGATGTTAGACAACAAATGGTGTTGAAGGCCCCCACCACCACTCAGGGATGGGTGCTCTAGTTTGACGTAGAAGGCCTATTTCGAACCAGTTGTCATCTCTGCCCAAAATGTGTCCTTCCATGTCATCAAGTCAACTTAGATTTAGGAAGATTGGTGAGTCCTGACCTGTACAATTTGAACTTGTATGTTGGGCCGTTGGGCCATCTGTTTGCCGAGAGGTCTCCTCAATGTACAAGGTCTTCCTCACTACACTGCTCTGCACATAGCATGCTTTTTGATTCCCACCACCCACTGGAGGTTATTAGAACTTTGGAACACTGGACTGAGATAGGAGGAGAGAGAACATGGAGTGTGGGGGGTAAATGAAGGCGGTATAGTGATAAAGATAGAGAATGAGATAGCAAGGAAGGGGACAGAGATCTCACACACATCATACTGCACACGTCGTTCTATCGCCAACAGGAGTTCACGTCTCTGCAGCCAGCCCAGTCCTTCCACCCTCACACACATCCACATACTTCTGTAAGACATGGAGCAGAAGGCTTCCCCACTCACCCATCCCCTGCAGGGCGGAGTGGATCTCCATCATCACCTTCTTATAAAGATCCTTCTGCCAGTCCTCCAGCGCACTCCACTCCTCCGCTGAGAAACAGGCCGCCACGTCATGGAACGTCACCGACACCTGAACAGGAGGATTGGAAGGTGAGCTCAAGGTGCCTCCATGTGTTGAGCCAAGGCAGATTCCTCTGCTGACAATGTGTGGTCAATGTGTGGTCAATGTGTGGTTTTAACCAAACCCTGTGAACATTTGAAAATCAAAGCATTGTACGAACACCGCAAGCACCTGACCAATGGTGGAAGAGTCCACTCGTACTCGTGCTCGCCCTAATGCTCCGATGCCTAGCCCGATACCTAGGGATGCACCGATACCGGTATTGAGTATGAGTACCAATATATTACACTGATACCGAATACCGGAAGTCCCATTAAGGAAGCCAGGTGGTGTGTAAAGACTCGCCACCCGGCTTCCCGATTAGCAAGGAAGCCGTCCCCATGCTTCTCGTCACTATGTGACGAGGAAGCATGGAGCCGGCTTTCTGGCCAATCAGCAAGCCGGGGGCTGTGTAATGACGCGCTGCCAGGCTTCCTGACACAGGAAGTATTGGGCTAGGCATCTGAGCATTTGGGGCGAGTACGAGTACTCACCCAAATACTCAGCATCGGCACTGTTGCAGTATTGTTGCATCTCTACCGATACCTGAGCGTCCGGTATCAGGAAGCCGGGCAGCGAGTCATTAAGCTGCACGGCTTCCTGATTGGCTAGGAAGCAGGCTCCATAGTCCCTCGTCACTTGGTGACAAGGGAGCATGAAGCTGGCTCCTCGGTAAATCAGGAAGCTGGGCAGCGTGTAATGACTCGCCGCCTAGCTCCTGATTGGACCGGAAGCCAGACAATCAGGCAGCCGGACGGCGAGTCATTACCCCCCCCCCCGGCTTTCTGATTGGCTAGAAAGCCGGCATCATGCTCGCTCGTCACCTGGTGATGAGGGAGCATGGAGACGGCTTCCCTGCTAATCGGGATGCCGGTTGGGGAGTCATTACATACCGCCTGGCTTCCTTAAAAGGAGAACTATGAGGCGAGTGCTTTTCACTCACCTCATAGTTCTAGCCGACCTGTGACAATGAGACTGTCACAGGTCGGCTCAGTAGATCGGGAGGTGAGCGAACACATAGCGGCGTTCGCTCACTTCTCGATCCTGTCATGGCTATCTGCCGTGACAGAGGAGGGGCTGGATTCTCCCCTCCCCACTCCGCCAGCGCTGACTGGCGGAACGGACAGGGGATGGGGTGGGTACAGCTGGCTCTGCCTCTAGATAGGCAGAGCCAGCTGAAGCAAATAATCGAAAAGCAACTAATCGATGATGAGAATTGTTGCCAACGATTCTCATTATCCATTATAATCAATTTAATTGATTAGTTTTTTGCACTTAATGGGCTTTTTTTTGAACCTGACAATGTAACCAGTAATCAGTCCTGGAAGTTGGTTCTATACTCTGTCCCGGCATTTCCTAGAACATCAAACATAAAAATGAGAACAAGTGACCTGTAAAGCCTCACCTGATACACGTGTGCGTCCATGTTGGAATGGTCTCTCTTCATAGATGGCGGAAGGGAGCTCACATTCACGGACGAGGGGACAAGGTGAATCCTCGGTGCCCTGCGGGTGAATATTTCTATTAGATAAATCACAGACTGCCAAAAACTGTACAAATCACACATTGAAAACACGCATCCCCGATCCCTGGTCACATGTCATTATAACCCCGATACCTGGTCACATGTCATTATAACCCCGATCCCTGGTCACATGTCATTATAACCCCGATCCCTGGTCACGTGTCATTATATCCCCGATCCCTGGTCACATGTCATTATATGCCATCAGGAGCCCTTTGTAGAAGGCAAAAATGATATAAACCGTATATGATTATTATTCCATAAGACAACAAGGATGAAAAGGGCGAGTCTCCATCAACTTCATCACTGCCGCAGAGATACGGGACACGCCAACACTCCCAATCTCTTCTCTGACAGTCTCTGGTAACAGGGTACATCTATGCACATTGAAAACCCAAATCCCCTTGTCCTATGTGCAGTTCCCAACAGTGGTATCTAACAGTCTCTGATAACCTGGAATAGGATCACCTGAACTGTACAGAGTACATTAGAGAGAGATACAAAGTAACATTGTTTATAAACATTGATTACATCCCGTGTCCTGCACAATCACATCCCGTGTCCTGCACAATCACATCCCGTGTCCTGTACAATCCCATCCCGTGTCCTGTACAAGCACATCCCGTGTCCTGCACAATCACATCCCGTGTCCTGCACAATCACATCCGTGTCCTGCACAATCACATCCCGTGTCCTGCACAATCACATCCCATGTCCTGCACAATCTCATCCCGTGTCCTGCACAATCACATCCCGTGTCCTGCACAATCTCATCCCGTGTCCTGTACAATCACATCCCGTGTCCTGTACAATCACATCCCGTGTCCTGTACAATCACATCCCGTGTCCTAGAAGGGCATAGGCTGGCATGGGGGGGCCTGTACAGGTTGGCAGCAGGGGTTGGGCACAGGGTGTCACAGTCTCCCCTCACACTGACCTATCACACCCCCGTTGGGTGTTGAGGTGTCAGAGGGCGGGGTATGACGTCACGCAATGTCTTTGTGCTGCGAAGCAGGGGCGGGGCGGACAAGGGTCACATGACTGCACATACCGGGGAAGGCGTGTATCATCAGCGGAGATTCCGCACACCGGGCGCCGCCATACCGATCACACTGCGCATGCTCGATTCGGGACCAGTGGGTGACGTCACAGGCCACCACCGCACGCCCCGAGTCCGTCCCCTAGTTATAATCGATTCAACTCCTCCCACTGGGCTCTCAGGCTCCTCCCACTCACCTGGCACTGGCTGGCGCTGTGGGAGAGATGGGCGCTGGATGGCATCGGGTGGAAATGAACATTGAATGGTGGCGGGGGGATGGGCGGAGACCGACTCTAGGAAGGCAATAGGGGAGAGCAGAGGTGGCACTGGGGAGGGCAAAGACTGGTGGAGGGGGGCAATTCTTCCATCCTTCTCTCCCATCATCATCAGTCCTTCCATCCTTCCTCTCCCATCATCAGTCCTTCCATCCTTCTCCCCCCCATCAACGGTCCTTCCATACTTCTTCTCTCCCATCATCGGCCCTTCCATCCTTTTCCCATCATTAGTCCTTCCATTCTTCTCTTCCATCATTAGTCCTTTTATCCTTCTCTCCCATCATCAGTCCTTCCATCCTTCTCTCCCATCATCAGTCCTTCCACCCTTCTCTTCCATCATCAGTCCTTCCACCCTTCTCTTCCATCATCAGTCCTTCCATCCTTCTCTCCCATCATCAGTCCTTCTACACTTCTCTTCCATCATTAGTCCTTTTATCCTTCTCCTCTTCCATCATTAGTCCTTCCACCCTTCTCCTCTTCCATCATCAGTCCTTCCATCCTTCTCCCCCATCAACGGTCCTTCCATACTTCTTCTCTCGCATCATAAGTCCTTCCATCCCTCTTCTCTCCCATCATTAGTCCTTCCATCCTTTTCCCATCATTAGTCCTTCCATCCTTCCTCTCCATCATTAGTTCTTCCATCCTTCCTCTCCATCATTAGTCCTTCCATCCTTCCTCTCCCATCATTAGTCCTTCCATCCTTCCTCTCCCATCATTAGTCCTTCCATCCTTCTCCCCCATCAACGGTCCCTCCATACTTCCTCTCTCCCATCATAAGTCCTTCCATCCTTCTCCTCTACCATCATTAGTCCTTCCATCCTTCCTCTCCCATCATTAGTCCTTCCATCCTTCCTCTCCCATCATTAGTCCTTTCATTCTTCCTCTCCCATCATCTGCTTCCAGTCCTTCCTTCCCGCAACTCTCACAGGAACACATCTGAAGAGACCCTATGACTGCACACTTCATGGCCATCACCTCTGGGGACAACACATACTCAGGTTAGCTGTGGAGTTGTCACCCCCTTCATGTTACCAAGCTGGACCATGAGCAACATTGCCAGCATACAGTGCACTGGTAGACTCCACCGTAGTCATTGGTAGACTCCACCGTAGTCATTGGTAGACTCCACCGTAGTCATTGGTAGACTCCACCGTAGTCATTGGTAGACTCCACAAATAGACTCCACCGTAGTGATTGGTGGAGTCCATTGTAGTTATTGGTAGAATCCGCCATAGGCATTGATAGGCTCCAACGTTGTCATTGATAGACTTTGCTATTTGTAGACTCCGTCGTAGGCATTGGTAGACTCCACCATAGGAATTGGTAGACTCCACCGTAGTCATTGGTAGACTCCACCATAGGAATTGGTAGACTTCACCATAGTCATTGGTAGACTCCACCGTAGGAATTGGTAGACTCCACCGTAGTCATTGGTAGACTCCACCGTAGTCATTGTTAGACTTCACCATAGGAATTGGTAGACTCCACCGTAGTCATTGTTAGACTCCACCATAGGAATTGGTAGACTCCACCGTAGTCATTGGTAGACTCCACCATAGGAATTGGTAGACTTCACCATAGTCATTGGTAGACTCCACCATAGGAATTGGTAGACTCCACCGTAGTCATTGGTAGACTCCACCGTAGTCATTGTTAGACTTCACCATAGGAATTGGTAGACTCCACCGTAGTCATTGTTAGACTCCACCATAGGAATTGGTAGACTCCACCGTAGTCATTGGTAGACTCCACCGTAGTCATTGTTAGACTTCACCATAGTCATTGTTAGACTTCACCATAGTCATTAGTAGGCTCCACCAGAGGAATTGGTAGACTCCACCAGGAATTGGTAGACTCCACCGTAGTCATTGTTAGACTTCACCATTGCCATTGGTAGACTCCACCATAGGAATTGGTAGAGTCCATCGCAGTCATTGGTAGACTCCACCATAGGAATTGATAGACTTCACTGTAAGGAATCGGTTTACTCCACTGTAGTCATTGGTAGACTCCATGGTAGTATTTGATGAAGTCCATCGTAGTCATTGGTAGACTCCCCGTAGTCATTGGTAGACTCCCCGTAGTCATTGGTAGTCTCCACTGTGGGAATTGGTCTACTCCACTGAAGTCATTTATAGACTCCGCCATAGGCATTGGTAGACTCCACTGTAGTCAGTGTTTAGCTACCACTGGGACGTGCAAACATCGACAGGGGGGTTCCTACAAAGAGTCTCCAGGATGTGCGCAGTGTAGGTATAGAAACCTGAACAAGGTGAGAGGAAACCAAAAAAAGTGATCTTGCTTCACTTTCCGTGATCTACAAAACTTAGTATTCATTTTGGAGAGTCTGGACCGTGAATCCTGTCACATCCGTCCCTTCCCGTTATTGTAATGTTAAAAATCAGGATTTTGGTTCTATTTCCAATGTTATGTAATAGTTCTGGTTACTTAAAGGAGAACTATGGGGTCAGGGCTTTTCCCCATAGTTCTAAAGGCCGTGAACAGAGTGACAGTCACGGCTCTCTGCGCGGATAGATCGAGAAGTGAGCGAGCGCCGGTATGTGTTCGCTCACTTCCCGATCTACTGAGCCGACCTGTGACAGTTTCATTGAGATGTGACTATACACAGTTCCAATCCTACTGAGCCGTCACAATAACCTGACCAGAGCCGGATTTACTCCCTCTTATGCCCCAAGGCCAGGTTCCTCAATGCGCCCCCCTACCTGCCAAACAAAACAAGTGGCGGCTTCCCCCGCTCTACATTTAGCTCTGCGTGCCCAAAGCAGGACTAAATGTAGAAAACAATTACCCGCCCGGCACCTGGAACTGCATGCCTCGGGCATCGGAAGATAGGAATTCCAAACCCCTGCTGCCCCCCTACTCCCTGCTGCCCCAAGGCCGGGCCTCGGTTGGCCTTGTGGGAAATCCGGCCCTGGTCATACCACTCTCAGCCTTCTCTCTTCACAGAGAGAAGGAAATGTACACTACCACAGGTCAGGTGCAAGACTTTGCCCAATCAGGGCTCTGTACTCATTTGGAGTCATGATGATTCTGGCCAATCATGTCTCGCCTATCAGATGCCGGCAAACTACACAATTGGGCGGAGCTAGCTATCACCGCTAGCTCCGCCCAATTGTTTATGTTTTGCCGGCATCTGTCAAAATGCCATTATGCGGTGGGGGCAGGGGGCGGCGGCCAGCATTTTTTAAATTTTTATTTATCTTATTGTTTTATTTTTTATTTCGTCGTCACGGACAACGCTGGACGCCATGATTGACGCCGGATTACATCGGTGGATCCATTTTTTTAAATAAAAGAATTGTCAAAAACATGCCTTTTGTTTTTTTTTTTCAATTAAAGGATTTTATCAAAAGTCTGGACTTTTTATTAACTATTTTATTTAACCCTTTAGTGAATGGGTAGGGGTACAAGTACCCCTTACTCATTCACAAGGGAGGGGGGCGGCATCTGGGTGCCCCCTTAATTAAAGGGGTACCCGATGCAAATAAGCCCCCTTGCCCGCAGACCCCCCCAACCACCGGGTCAGGGTTGTGAGGACGATGCCCTTGTCCCCATCGGCACAGGGACACCCTCCCAGTGCCGAGGGCATGTAGCCTGATGTGGGGGAGGCGCTCGCTCATCCACCCCCCCCCTTTCTGGCCCTGCCAGGCCTATGCTAGGATCAAGGGAATGGTATGGAATTTTAGGGGGGACCCCATGTTTGAAGGGCCTGTGCCCCTTCAAATGCCCGCTGTTCTCCCCGCCTGTGTTAGCGGAGGCAGCGGGGACACAGAGCGCTGCATTGCTCCGCTGCCCCCGTACCTCTGCTGCTGTCTTACCTGGTCCGTCGGCTTCTCAGTGCCCCCGTCCAGCCGCGGCACCTCTGCCCCGCCCCCCTGCCTCCTCTTCATTGCAGGCTGGGAGCCATACCCAGCCTGCTATTGGATATTGTAAAATGCAATAGCCAATAGCAAGCTGGCTATTGCACCCGCCCACTGCTGCTGTCAATCAGCATGGGGGGACCTGATAGAGAGCTTTCTCCTTCAGGCCCCTCCTCCGTTGAGCCCTGATTGGGCAAAGTCTTGCCCCTGACCTGTGGTCAGGGGCAAGACTTTAACAAATCAGAGCTTCAGTGGGCATTTTGTATTATGGAATGTCCGCGGTCGAACAAACCGCGAACATCCCATAAAGTTCGGCGAGCGCTCGAACTGCCGATGTTTTAACTCATGTTCGGATCGAACACTCGGCCCATCCCTAGTGCTGACTAGACATGTAAGCCGGCAACAAATTTGTTTAGTTTCATTTTGTTTTGGAATTTCGTTTTTCGGGATTCAGGTGTCAGCAACCCTCACCTTCTGCGCATGCGCCAAATCCAGTTCTCCGTGATGTTCATAGAACACTTGGGCGCATGCGCATGATGCGTAGGAAAACGCGCCAAATGACGCACCGGGAGTGACACACAGGAAGTGATGCACAGATTGCTGGATTGTCTTCAGCCCCTCCCCGTGTTTCTGTGTCCTGCGATTACCTGTCCCTGTGAACTGCCTGTCTCCTGGATTTGGACCCGATACCTTTCCTCGACTACTCTTGATTGCTGCCGGCCACCGACCTTGGACTGAATACTGGACTCAGGGGCGTAACTAGAAATCACAGGGCCCCATAGCAAAATTTTGTATGGGGCCCCGTGATTGCTAGTTATGCCACTTGCAGAGCCTACCATAGACTCTCTATGGTGGGCTCTGCAAGGTCTCAGTTGCGCTGTACGCTTCTTACCTGTCACCCCCGTGGTCGCTGCCGCCGGGCCCCTGCCTCCTCTTCCATTCCCGGGCTCCGCCTCCTATCGACGGGCCCCACCTCCTCTTACATCACTGGCCCCACCAACTTCTCTTTGCTCGATCCCTATGTACCATCTACGCTCTCCTGGTTTGACCTCGGCTTGCTTTGACCCTGATTTCCGGAATACCCCAGCTCAGCCACAGAAGTAACCTTCTGCTTGCACGGTTTCAACACCACTGGCACCCGTGCCACTCGCTGTCCGCCAGGTCTCTATCTCCACCTCCAGAGGCCTCAGGACACGAGGTGCAAGGGAAGCCTCTTCACGTGGTCAGTCTCCCCATCAGGTACGTGATATCAGGTCTGAAAGTCAACTCTTTTCGGTATTCGGAAGAGTTTAATGTTCATTACCAACTAAAATTAGTTGGAGAAAAATGAGACTACACGTTTACTTTGTTTCTTTTTAATTTCTGACACCACAAAACAAAACTAAAATAACAGTGTGGGTTCCCTCTCAATTCATACCAGACCCATGTTATGGGGGACCCCTGATGTAAAAAAAAAAACAGCGTGTGGTTCCCTGACAATTTTTTTTTTCTTCTCATTTGTCGGCCGACGCTGGAAAGACTTCGTGTGACATTTTTAAAATTTATTTTAAATAAAGATATTGTCAAGAATTTGTGTTTTGCTTTTTTGTTCACCTGCTTGTAATTAAACAGCCGGACAGCGGCTTCTTGAGGGCGGGTGTGCGTCTTTAGACGAGTCTCCATAAAGAGGACCTGTTACTGCAAATTGGCTATCACATAGGGAGCTTGTTTGCTCCCTATGTGATAGCAATAAAGTTCAGTAAAAAAAAAAGGTTTAAAAAAATGTTACAAAAAAAATTTAAAAATCACATATCAAAGCAATAAAACAAAATTAAAGGCCCGCACACGCAAACATGCGTCAAGCCCGCCTACGTGCGAAAACGCCGATTACATCCATTGCGCCGCACATGTTACATATAGCGCCGCGAACGTCGGAGTGAGAGTTATAATTCTAGGGCCATCAATCGCTGATAACACTAAACTGATGAGCGGTAAAAGCTTTTAAAGCGTCGGCTATGGTCAATTTTGAGTATGGTAGTTTTTTGCGATTTAACAGGTGCGCGCAATTTTAAAGTTTGACATGTTTGTTGTCTATTTACCCGACGTGACCCCGCCTTTTATATTTTACCAAAAAATTGGGTCATAATAAATGTTTTATAACATAACGTAGGGAGAACAGGTTTTTTTTCAAAATTTTCGGTACTTTTTTTATTATACAGTAAAAAAATAAAACCCCCAGTGGTGATTAAATACCACCAAAAGAAAGCTCTATCTGTCCCCAAAAAATGGTATAAAATTCATTTCAGTACAGCGCTGCATGACGGAATAAATGTCAGTCAAAGTACCGCAGCGCTGAATACTGGAAAATGGCCTGGCCAGGAAGGGGGTGTAAACACCGCGGTCAGCAAGTGGTTAAAGGAATTTTTTCTAAGGTGTTGTGTTTTTTTAAACATTTTAATTAACCCTTTTGTGAATGAATAGGGGTACAAGTACTCCTTACTCATTCACAAAGGGGGGGGCCTCTGAGTGCTCTTTATGAATGAGGGTAACCAGATGCAGAGAAGCCCCTTGCCCACATACCCCCACAACCACCGAGTCAGGGTTGTGGGGAAGAGGCCCTTGTCCCCATCGGCATGGGGACAAGGTGCTTTTCCAAGGTGTCCCCACTGGAAACACACCCTCCCATTGCCAAGAGCATGTGGCCAGGTATGGTGGAGGGAGTGGGGGCCGCTCGCTCGTCCCCCCCTTTCCTGCCCTGCCAGGCTGCTGCCCGGATTAAGGGTCTAGTAAGGGATTTGTAGGCGGGACCCCATGTTTTGTTTTTTTCTCATTTCTTTGGCATTGGGGTTCCCGCTTAAAATACCTACCAGACCTACAGGGTCTGGTATTAATTGTCAGGGAACCACATGCTGTTTTTTTTTTTACATCAGGGGTCCCCCCATAACATTCCTACCAGTATCAATTGGGGGGGGGGGGGGGGGGGGGCGTGTTTTTTT